ATATATGTTCATATTAGGAGTCTTAGTATTATATCTTGAGTGCAAGTTTGACTCGTTAGTGATTTAATGATAATAAATATTATATATGATAATAAATATTATGTATTAATTTGCTAAGGACTATATTTTTTTAATCATTTACTAACAATCATAGTGATGATGATGATGATGGTGTTTATACTAGATTTGATACGTTATCAAAAAATTATCTTGATCGGACACGAATCTCAATGCAAAATCAAGTTGGAAACTTTCAAAATTAAAATTGGGACCATCTGAACTCTGATTTCAGCAAACTTACAGTCGAACTGAATGTCTCGGAAATACGAACCCAACAACACCAAATCAACTCAATCTGAGCCCAATGAGTCCAAATCAAGTACCCGAAGCGCTGTTGGAAGGTTCGAACCACAATTTGGGTTATCAAACGGTTTTCAAACATGATGTGCTTATAGTCAAATTGAGAGGATCGACGAGAGGAATCTAACGAGCCCAAGATCGCCGAATTCCAAGTTCGTGAAGACATTCAAATGTCCATCCAACCACTCCCCATTTATCCTTGATCTCTTAACTATTTTACAGGACATGCCACTCCAGAAATTTATAAATAGACCCCTCATTTCTCTTGAAAAAAGGGGACCCGAGTAAGAATAGGAGGAAGAAGAGAAGGAAGAGAATGAAGAAGCTCCTCCTCGACCACCGCCTGAGCTCCGCCAGACCACCACTTGAGGCCCCCACCTCTGCCGGACCACCACCTAACGTCGTTGCTCCGTCAGACCACCATTTGAGGCCCTCACCTCTGCCAATCCACCGCCTAACATCGTTGCTCTGCTCGACCACCACTTGAGACCCTCACGTCCGCCAGACCACCGCCTAATGTCATTGCTCTGCCGGAGGACCACATGAGGCCCTGAGCTTTGCGGGACAACCACTTGAGGCCCTTATATCCCACGGACCACCGCCTGACGTCGTTGCTCAGTCAGACCACCACTTGAGACCCTCACCTTCGCCGGATCACCACTTGACGTCATTGCTCCGTCAGACCACCACTTGAGGCCCTTACATTCGCCGGACCATCACCTGACTTCGTTTCTCAGTCGGACCACGACTTGAGGCTCTCACATCTACTGGATCACTGCCTAACGTCGTTGTTCAGTCGGACCACCACTAGATGCCTTGAGCTCCACCGGACCACCACTTGAGGCCCTCAAATTTGCCGAACCACCGCCTGACATCGTTGCTTCGCCGAAACACCACCTGATGCCCTCACCTCCGCTGGACCACCGCTTGACGTCGTTTCTCTGCCGAACCACCACCTAAGACCCTGAGCTCCATCGGACCTCCACTTGAGGCCATGGTTTCTGCCGGACCACCATCTGAGGCCCGAACTTCTCCCAGACTACCACGTGATGCCCGGACTTCAGCCTGACCACCACCTAAAGCCTGGACTTCTGCCCGACCACCACCAAAGGCCCGGGCTTCTTCCCGACCACCACCAAAGGCTCGGGCTTCTGCCAGACAACCATCTAAGGCCCAGACTTCTACCGGACCACCACCCGAGGCCCGAACTTCTGCCGAGCCACCACTTGATACCAAGAGCTCTACCAGAGTACCGCCCTACTACAACGGTCTTTCTGACGTTGGTCTCCCGCATACTACGGTCCTTCCGACCTACATCGCTAGACAATGATCTTTCTGAACCCTGTCTCCTGCTGCATATGGCCCTTCTAACCTCTATCACCTACTATGGTCCTTTTGACCTACATCGTCAGACAACGATCTTTCTGAACCCGATCTCCTGTCAACTATGATCTTTTGGACCCCTATTTCGTGCCGACTATGGTCCTTCAAACCAAACAAATATAACTATGTTGATTATTGTAACTCCCACCATGTAATGCGCTTTATATGATGTACATTTTTGACATCAAGCCAAGACCTTCTCCTAAGAAAGGGTCTCATTTGTAATCGACTACAAATATAAGTGGATTCATTCAAACAGGGTCAGGCCCCGTGATTTTTCCCCCTTTTTCAGGGGTTTCCACATAAAAACTCTGGTGTCTCTTATAAATGCTAAACCCTCTATCTTATCTGCTTTTGTGCTCGATCTTCGTACAACAATAAGACATTAAACTATATATTTCTCTACCGCCTTATACTCCAAGATGCAATAAGATTAGTTTGGAGGTTTGATCAATCAAGAATAAACTTCAACGGAGTAATTCATGAAGTCTAAGTGCAACAATGTTGATTTAGGCTTCATTTGAGACAATTAGTTTACTATGTTTTAAAGCTGTTTTTTAGTATAAAAAGTTATTGAACTGAATTTTTTTTTATAGAAAGCTGCTTTATAAATAGTAAGAAAGTTGTCACAAACGAAGTCTTAGTTGAACATTTCTTTAGATTATTTATTATATATTGATTGAGTACGACTAAAAAGGGATTTAAAGATGATATATATGAAGATAAAATAAAACATCTCCTGTTTATATATATATATATATAGATCACCTTACTCAAAATCAAATTAAAAAAAAAAAAGATAGGCAAAAAATTTGCGCTTGAAGAATTAATGTTTTTTTCTAAAAGAAAAGCTCTTTGATTCGTCCACTTATGATGTTCTTTCTTTCAATCTCTAGGAAAATTTTATAAGCAATAATTATTTCATTTATAATAATTTAATCCAAAGATTATAATATTTTTCTAAATATTTGTGATAACTTTAATCATCATTAGCAGGGGGGTTCCTCCCCTATGAAGGAAAAGTTGTGGTTATTTTTTCCAACTTTTGCAAGAAAATGAAATCCTTTGCAAGGGGGTGATTAGATGTGAATGTTAATCATATTGGGCTGAATGGCATAAATATCATTGTGACCTATTTCTTCATAGTTATATTTGCTCTATATTACACTTAACTTGATTTATGTATGTGATGATTGAATGATTATGTGACCACATGTTCATGTCATGAAGTTGTCATTATAATGATCTATTTATCACAAAAATCAAACTTATCATTAAATTATTATTATTATTATTATGCTTTCATGTAATTAATTAGATTGATCTTTCATTATATAGTTACTTTGTGTTTCATACAGTAGATGTCTTTGTACTTATGAGATGAAGTTATCTTTACACTTACAAATTAAATTATTTAATACACTCTAATAGCATTGTGATTATTAGGAGTGTCAAAACGGGTCGATGGGTTAGGTTCGGGTTGAACTTGAGTTGACCCGGCTTTAAATGGGTCAACTTGAACCCGATCCATTTTTTTGTAAACAGATCAGGTATTTCAAACCGAACCCAACCAACGCGGGTTACCAGGTTGATCCAACCCAAACCGCGGATCCATTTTGATTCAAAAATGAGCGAATGCAATGGCAAGCAACGGGGTAAGTGGTGAGGCAGAGCACTTGAACGGTTGAACCGTGAGGATTGCAGCATTGCGTCTACACCCGAGAAGCTGTCGACGATTGCATTGGCCAAATCTTCGCATCACCGCATCAGCTTCTCGATTATGTCGTCGCAACAGCCGACAGAGATGGAGGGTTTGCTAGTTTTGTTCTTTGTACTTTGCAGCTCACAAGTCACGATAGAGGTGCAGAGTGGATGGCGGGACGGAGGAGTAGGTGAGGCACTGAAGCCATAGGCAGGCGAGGCAACGACGACCGCGGTTAGGCCATCAGGGTGAACTGGCAGGCGACGGGGTGAGCAACATTACAAGTCGTCTTCCAGTTTTCAGGTCAACCCGGACCCCACTGAGATTTATAATCGTGTCAGATTATCGAACTCGAACCTGACCCGTATGGCAAACGGGTTGACCCAAATATAAAATTTTTCAAGTCGTGTCAAATTTTGATACCCCTAATGATTATCTTTCATATCTCCATCATATATATTTTGTGAATAAGTGTATTGAGTTACTTGGTGGTTGACTAATGTGCAAGAATTATTATGTGTGACCTTAATTTTATCATTGTGCTTACAATTTGATCATTCACTTGCTAGCACTATCTTATCTTGTCCAACTCTATATACACATCATAATCTTGCGAGTATATATGTCTTTAATTTGACTTATTTATATTTTGATGTGTATAATATATTGTGATTTGTATTATTTTTATCATGCATTATGTCTCTTGTACTCTTATTTATAATGAGTTAAAAGAGGCATTATTTGAGTTTTTTATTTTTTTTAAAATTTAAAAAGAAATATATTAACTTTAAAAGAAATTAAAAGATATGAAGAGACCTAGAAATGTTTTGAAAATTAAAATTATTAATCTAAAGCATGAATTTTTTAAGTTAATGAAAAGTTTAATACATGTTCTATACTTGTTGTAGATGGCATTGATAAACTTAGAAATAATTTATGTTCTTTTGCATGATGATGATGATGATTTATTGTAAAATCATTAGAATCTTATAAATTGAGAATGATAAACCCTAAATCTTAAACCTTATAAATTGAGAATGCTAAACCCTAAATGTTCTTCTCAACTTTAAAAATTTTCTTAAGTTTTTATGCAAATGCCCCTATTATGAAGGATATTATATCAAATTTACCTTTAAACATGTATGAACAAAATTAAAATAATAAAATTATATGTAATAATAAAAAAGTCAATGAAAAAAAAATAAAATCTATCATTTAAAGCAAATAAATCAAAATAAAAACATAAAATCAAATTGTTTATGTCAATATTAAAATAAATTGAAAGAGTTTTTCCTTTGAAATTTTCAGTAATTGTTTGACTAAATTGCAAGTTAATTTTCAAAATCGAGCCTAACGTTTTAATAATCCCCAATTTTATTTATATAGAAAAGCTTTTCCACAACAATTAACTACAACTAAATTCCATTAACTTATAAAAATCAATTGACAAAATCATTGCTAAATAAGCCCTAAATTTGTTGTCAAGATTCGCCTAATGAAGCATCATGATTACACTTAGGAGCCTTTTAAATTGCTGAAAATAAAATATAATATATTTGAAATATTTTGAATTGATTAAACGAGTATAAAATAAATACATATGATTATTTTTGTCATTGAATTTAAAATAAAAGAAATACAATATAAAATCAAACAATTATGATTGTTAATGGTCGTCGTGCCGTCAAGTGGCGATGGCGACGACAACAATGACAAAATTTAAAATGCATTTGAAACTCAGCCAAAACTTACTATAAATACACCCAGAATGAAACTAGAACGTGAATTCCAAAATTTTACTCTACTTTTCTTTGATTTCAAATCAAACACCAACATTTTTAAAACTAATGCATTTGAAGTATCGTATACCCCTCGTACTTCAAATCAAACATCTTAACCAAAATTTATTAAACGTAGCTAACATTGATCTATTGGTTGAAAGATTTGACAACCAATCGAGAGATCTTGAGTTGAGTCTTGCATATATAACGTGTGTTGATTTGCTTTAATTGGCGTAAATGACCCAAAAACTAAAAACATAAACAATCATAACTTATTATTATTATTATTATTTTTGTCATAAGTTATTCACCCCAACCTTGTGGAGTTTTTCTACATGTTAGCCATGGAATGTACTTTAGATTGCAGTCAATTGTGCTATGTCTAACTTAGGAGAGATAATTCTATGCAGATGCCGAATACGGCTCTACATTCAAATACCAATCAGAATGAGCCACGTTAGCGATACCGAGTTGCGGTACCATGGTATTGAGCTGCGGGCTTAGGCATCCGAACAGAGTTCGACTTCCGTGCATAATGATTTTTCCTAACTTAGCCACTTGAGTACAAGAAATCTTAATAGTAATTCATCTATTGGTGCAATTTAAAAGCTGCTGCAAGTTGAAAGTAAGAAGAAACTCATGCACAATATTGAACCTTTAAACAAACCAGCATATCTATATAGAGTTACTGACAATAATAGTTTTTAACTTACAGTTCAAACCTCAGAATTGTTGGCTTGGAAAAACCCAATCTCACATAAAATGTCTAAGTTCTATCCAGTAGAATCCTAATCATTTTGAAAAAAAAAATATGGATGCAAAAAAGAGTAAGTGAACAATGTCTGAACATAAGAAAATAGACTAATCCTTTAGTTTGACAATAACCCTCAGAATCTTCATGTAATAAGTACAAAGAGGTACATTAAAAGATCTTTTGGAAGACCTATCATACTGGACCAAGAATCTGATCCAGAAAAAATAGTGGAATCAAATCATTTAGGTTTTGTTTGAGACGGCTTTCTTCCTGCTACTTAAAGCCGTTTTTTGGTACAAAAAAAGCTGCTTTAAGAAGCAGTAAAAAAGTCGTCCCAAACGAAGCCTTAAAGCTGCTCAATTTCCCCCAAATGGGGTTACAAAATGGAAGCGACAGAAAACTGGAGAAAGAAAAACTTCTTTACTCCAACATTAAATTCTCCAATCAACTAGTGTCTGTGAGAATGCTTTCTATTAGTTCTCTGATGGCTGCTCCCGACCTCTCGGTATCTATCAATAATCCTGAAAGCCAAGGAGATAGCTCCAATGGCTGCCATGGCGTAGAGAGCCATGTAAGGAGAAGCAGCAAGAGCACATAGAAAGGAATAGTATCCAGACAAGAGAAACACTAAGCTCAGACTGATTTCAGTTCGTCTAATGAAAGGCAAGGGGATTGATAGGAAATAGGTATCTGGCCTTGATCCAGAAAGTCCATGAAGGATGATCCCAATACAGACAACAGAGTCAATGAACCATGGGAAGCTTGAACCCATCCCAATTCTCTGAAATTAAAGTAAACTTATCAGTTCAAGAAAAATAAATATTCCTAGAACTAGTACACAACAGATCTTGCTAAAACTAGTCATTAGTAAAAGTGAGTTTTGGAGTAAGAAAATAGTTGCAGAGAACTGATACAACACAGTTTTTATATCGCTTGATCAATTTGAACTACAACATTATTTACATCAAAACATTTGATGATATTTATCACTAAAGATTGGATTCAGAGATCATAAGTTACAAAAGCTATCTTCTGATAACCTTAAGTTCAAATATCACAATTAATATGCAGCCTATATATATATATATATTTCCATTGTGCTGACAATTTCCTCTTGCTGTCAGATTCTCATGAAATAAAGTTACATTTCTGTAAAAACTTTCTTTGTAAACTTTTTTTTTTTTTTTTCTGATTTTGTAACAATGAAAAAGAACTAAACATATATTATAATAACTAAGGAAATCCATAATAGTTGGTATAAAGATTAGTTATGAAAAACTACAGTTTGCTACACTGGTTTGTGCAAACCAAGAGATCAATCTGGCAGTGCAGTTGTTAACTAGAACAAAGAAACAAATATATGAAATTAAGCGACAAAACTGCAAGAGGAGTCCAACATGGTGGACAAATTTCCTAAAAGGGAACATTCCACGTAGAATGTTTAAATGATTGCCAGATCCACAGTTTTGCACAATAACTATCATTGTTAGATATGCATTTCTTCACAAAGTCTCGAATTTTAACAGAATGAGTAAACTAGTTAGCATTCAATGAAACGGTTTCTGAAGTTTTAAAAAATAAATTCCACGTAGATTTTTGTCCTTTCATCCCCTGGCAAGAACTAGATACCTTAAACAGTCTTCAAGCTTAAGCTAATGAGAAATATTATAAAATATAGAACTAAGTTAGTTGCATTAAAAATCCTATGTACAACATATGCCACAGATGGCAAGGAAAATTTAGAGTAGAGTTCTGAGTTGCTTCTAACGTGCTATAATCAAACACAGAACTTATGCTAAACAGTAGTACATCAATACAAGCTAAACATGTAATATCCAGTTTAAACAGGACAGTTCAATTCAACCGGCCAGCCCTAAATGAAAAAATGCAGGAGCAGGCCAAACGAAACACGTACGAACCGCGACCATCTGCGTGTGTAGACTCCCCAAGCGGAGTCGGATCGAACCGTTGAACGAAGGAATGCGTACGGGAGTAAAGAAGAATGACTCCTCACGCGAAATATCTCAGTTTTCCTCACTCCTGTAGGATCAAATCACGTGAGAAAATCCAACTGAGAGAAACTGTGACTGAGAAGAAGTAGAAAAAAAAGGAAATGGAGAGAAAGAGAAAGGAGAGGAGAGGGAGCAAGAGAGACGAGTCCTATGAGCAAGACCGCCGAGGGGGAGTTGTGAGCGAACAGGCTGGGGCTTGAGCGCAAATAAGAGGCAAGTTTCCCAGTTTCTTTAACATTTTATCTAAACATAGATTATAATTTAGATTTATTAGTGTCGAAATCTGATGTCCCCATCAGTTTTCCTGTGTGGACAGCAGATTTCATCCTAGATCTACTTGGTTCTTGGTGTGAAACACTTGGAAATCCAAGTGTTTCCTATCATACTGGCTGGGGATGCAATACACCGGTGTATGTAAATAGAAAAAGGTTATGAAAAAAGAAAAAGAAATGGAAAAGGAGTACATTCATTGGTACTATTTTAAACTATAGCTCATGTGATTGTTGTATTATTTATGAGAAATGATAATGTTATGGATAAATATATAGATAAATATATGACATGTATAATATTAATGGTCATGATTGAAATTAATTTAAATGAAATTATTTTATGTTTGAAAATGAGCAAGCATATTATTTCAAAGATCTTGTGTTACTACAATTTTAGAAGCATAAATTACTCACTGAGTTTTTTTATGACTCACTCTTAAATTTATAAATGAATAGGTAGTATTCCTAGTAAAAAAGAGTAGAAGAGAATATAATGTTTATCGTAGGTGTGGCACACCAGAAAAAATATATTTTAATAATTAACTTGTTTTAAATTTTGAGGTTTTCGTGGCTCTTTCATATTATTGAGATAGTTTTAGATTAATTGAAAATTTTAATCAACCGTTCGATCGTTTGTTCCCGCCTCGTTAATTCAAGTCTCCAGATTGGGCAGTGACAAAACAATAGTACATCAATACACAACTTAATGTAAGATCTCTTAAATAAACAAAGTGGAACTCTTGAATATCAAGACTTCTTTTGAAGAAAGGCTAGTGTTCATTCAGAAATTTCTAAATGTAATCATTCTGGAGCACATCTAGGATTAGTGATCTCCTTGAGAAGTTTTTGTGATGGAAAATTTTAATTGATCATGCCAGTTCAAATGAGATAACATAACTCTTCATTCCTTCATACCCAACCGAGTAGACATGAATAAGAAGTCACAAAAAAGAGGAAGAAAGAGAGGTCTACGCAGCTCTCGTTCAACGAATTGAGATAAGGGACTCGTTCCATGAAGAGAAAGAGAGAGAAGGTTGCGGCATGCGATTTCCACTCGACAGAGAGAACGAGGCAGGGAGTGAGAAACGTATGGTTTTTCCTCAATCCACATAGAGCCATGAAGGCAGGGAGAGAGATGAAGGTGGAGAGAAAGAAATAAGGGAGCGAGAATGAGAGAATAAACAAAACCGCTCACCTCTAACGCCATTTGATGCCTTTGATGTTGCATTTGACGTCTTTAACACCGAATTCAAAGGGAGGCTAGAAATCCATTTTTAACTCAGATGGAAGATTTATGTAGATTTCCAATTATAATTTGATAACACCAAAATTTGAGAATTTTAAAGTATTTAAGGGATTTCTTTCAGGAGGTTAGAGTGGAGGAATTGAGCGGAAGTTTTGATTTTGATTTTGGGGAATTGAGCGGAAGTTTTGATTTTGATTTTGATTGAGCTGAAAAGAATTGAAGAGAAAGGATTAGATAGCTATTTCATAAATATTAAGCAAGATATTGACTATAAATTCGTCTAATTTTCTTTATATCTATGACATTAAAAAATTCATTTAAAATATTTCAAAATATATAAGTTTCAAATTGATGTTTAATTACAAAGCAATTGTATCCTAACTTCGAAGTATAAGAAAAGAATAAAGTAAGATGCATTGTTTGCATAAATAGAAGAGGAATAGATAAAATAATTTTGAAATTTATTTTCTTTATTAAATCAAATTGAAAAGGAATTTGTTTTATGTCTCTGTATAAATTTAGGCATTTAGGAAATAGAATTTAAGGAATAAAGAAGAAAGTAGATTGTTCGAGTTGAGGGGGATGATCATATGCTTATTCTAATAATTGCAACTCTTTCTATGATTTAATGTATTGACTGATATGAGATTTTGTGTACTTGAACATGATGGTAATGCTAAGGAATAATAACGTGACTTCTTTCTTTCATTTGCATAGCTACTCTCTTTAAAATAATCATTAATATAAAAATGTTTCATTGAAATTCATACAAGTATGACTAAATTGTAATATAAGAAGACAAATGAAAGGAATGTGATGTGAAAGGAAATATATGTGCATGTTAAATAAAGGAGTTCATCCCATTATAACACTGATTGGGGACATAATATACCCATGCATGTGAAACGAAAAATGTTGAAAAAGGAAATAGAAATAAAAATAATTGGGTCTTAATTGGTACAAATTTTGCAGTGTTCATAAAATAGGTGTTATATTAAAAGATATGATTTGACAAATAGAGCTTAAAATGCTATTTTTTATAAAATAACGTTGTGTTTATCTTACGAAGTACACATGTTTAAATTCTCATGAATGAAATATTTAATTATTTCTTTAGATGGCTCATATGCATATAATTTTCTATTATCTTTTTAAAATACTATACCATATAATTGCACTTAGCCACTGAATTTGTTATTTGAAACTCAAGCCATTAAATAAAATGTTTCAAGGATGGCTCTTATAAATTAAATAGTTAACTGGGAAAGCTTTATATACAAAAGAAGATGATTGAATAAGAATAGATAAATGATGATTTTATGCATTTGTTTCCAGCTCAATTGTTTTTAAATCTTTAAAGTAGACTTAAATTATATACAGTTTAAGTTCTTTTGGATAATTAGTGGAAATTTATATATTTTGTAAGATATTTGATATGATTATTTAAGTTTTTATTTGAAAAAAAAAAAATTAACTATCGTCCGATCATCCCAACTTGATAGGAGGACAAACTTGTGTGGCATGTGAAATCACAGCGAACAATATCTAAACATATGAGGTTTCAGGTCGTGATGTTATCGATTAAAATGTGAGCTTAAATCACATACAGGTGAAGTGATAGAAAGCTACAAGGTGATAAGATGAGGAAACATTGATACGTTTTACAGAAAAAATAAATCAATTGATCAGTGTAAATTCAAACTACAATTAGTATATAATTCAAACCTTCTACAAAAAGAGAACTAAAATCATATGATTACAAAGTAATCAGGATCACTGATTTGTGGAAAAAAGATGACCACCCTTTTTCATTATATTGGATTTGATAAATTCATAAAAAAACAATTCAGAAAATGATTTACATATAACCCAACCATCTAAAATAATACCATTATCAGGATAATAATGAATAGATAGAGGAACCATGCATGGCCAGTCAATTTTATCGCAAGCATGCAAATTGCCACAAAGCAGGAAATCAGGTATGGTAATTAGTCAGCAATCGGAGAACAATAAAGAATCAAAAACTTTTCTGCCGCAAGAAAATTGGCTTCATTTTAAATAGTCTGCAAACATGATCCATTTCATCTAGTATTGCATCAATTGTAAAGCAAGCAATCCCATCAACAATTTAAAAACATGAGAAAATGAACTTTTGATTACCTGGAGCCAAGCAACCAGAGAAGGAATGAACATAAGAGTTGCAATAAGATGCAAGATCAGTAATCCATGCTTGTAGTTAAAGATCTCTAACTGACTTTCCCCAAAACCTTTAACAGAGTTTGGGCTACTAGTGTAGCTATCATCAATAGGAAGAAGTGAATCAAGCGCATCATTAGATTTTGGTTGAGATAGAAAGGATGAACTCAAAGAATTGGGATCATTGAACTCCCTCCTGCGAGCATTACTGCGAAATGAAGCCGCCAAAAAACTGTTACAGGAACCGAGAAGAAAGCATGAGGTAAAAGATAACACATCAACAGCTGATAACATGACAAAACTATAAATCCTAAATTATTTCCTAAAAAGGCATCAACATGCACACAAGAATACTCATTAGTGCTGCGTTGACCTTTTTGCATGGAAATTAGTAGTTAATTCATCCAATTAGTAATTCAACATTTATCAATTCAGCGTGAAACTATTGATTTCATGAAACCAGCACATGTAGATACTTTTCTTTCGAAAATCTAAAAAATATAAATAAAATGAAACTATTTGCCCTGTAAAGAGGAGGTTGATTGGGCCTTAAATATGAATAAAATGCACAGAAAATATGGAAACACAAAAATCTGTCAAAAAAGTTTTTCAGCTAGCCCACACAAGGTAAAAGCCAATATTTCAACAGCTACCAGGGGCGGCTTTCATATCACAAACGTTTCTTCAATTTGAAAGCTGCCAATACACCGCAAAGAGAAATGTTTATGTTTTTAAATTAAAAAGAATGAACCCTCACTTGTGCAAAAAAAAAAGCTCAAATCGTATGATGGGAGGAAACAATTAGAAAGCAGCTTTGGGTTCAATGGGTTGGCTGCCCCAATGTGACATGAAGATCACCTATGCTATATGAATTCATATATTGACCTCTAAAATGTTGTAGTGAAATCATATCCCAAATACGTTAGTTTCATTATATTGAACCAAATGCTGCCTTGATTGTCCCATTATAGCGTCAAATCAATATGAACCATCCCCATGGTCCAAATTCTGCCCTAGTTGACTTACAGGAGCCCTAAGATAGTCTCGAGGTTGCCCAATTACCCTCTGCCTTTAGGTGACTTATCCCGTCCCTAGGCAGCTCAGAACAAATATTGGACAATTGTGTACAGCTGAAGCACAATGTAAGTAAGACTTCTAATTGAGTCAAGGATAACAAATATAAGTCTAACACGTGCTGCCAATTTGTGGCGTGTCTACTGCTAGATAGATCAACATAAATTTATGATGGGCTGGCTCAATACAATTGTCCGATTAAACCTAAATAGTCCTTTGAATGGGATTGACACTCATAGCATTAAGAAAAGTATGGTCTAATTTGATTAAAGAGCCTTAACCTAACCCAATGCCCCTATTCATTAAGTCCTTCAAGACATAGTAAGTTTGAATTACACTTGAGAAGGGTTGATAGGTCTTTATGATCACTTAAGATGGTTAGCTTATCCCACATTTAAACATACTTAAGTTCATTTTCTCTTAAGCGCATGTTAATTTAAATTAGAGTCAATGAACTTTCTTGTCAGCTTACTTGAGATTGACCCCACACAAGCCAAACCCAAATTTATCCTTAACGCAGGCAGGATTCCTAACTGGAAAATTAAAACATTAACTCAGCTAATAGAATGTAATAAACAAAACCCAATTCATTCTATTAGCTCATTTACTCTTAGTTAGAAGCCAACCAGGTAAGCCAACCAACTTAACATGACAGAATCCTACTACACATTATAATACATTTTGGTTACACTATGATTTTATTATCAAAATAATACCTGAACTCAACAAAAGTTATTATGGTGCAATCAAATTTGCTCAAGCTTGTTTAAATATACTCGGAAAAAAATTTTGTTCAAAAAGCTTCGGTCTATTCAATTTTGGCTCAAGTGGCTCAAATTAAAAGTTAAGTCAACCCAAATAGACTTAGGTTAGTTATGAGTAAACCAGCTAGCATGCTGTTAGGCGGGCCCCTCCGATCCTTACTTACTCTAGGCGGGCCCCACATGGAGTTAATTCAATGGTTGGAGGAAAAATTTGAATGGAAAGGGGGGGAAATTTGAATGGAAAGGGGGGGAAATTTGAATAGAAGGGCTGTTTAGGGATTTGGTATGGGGATGAGAGTTAAAGAGGGGGAAAGGGGGGAATTAGGTCCTCATCTTGAATTGGAATGAAAAGTTTGAGATCTCATTGTGTGCTTGGGTTCTAGGGTTTGCTAGAGACTTGTGGAGAGTTGTTCTTCCTCTCGAATCGAAGGACGTTGTATCTTTCTTTGTTTTCTTGCATCTACTAGTGGAAACCTTGTTTCTTTTCCTTATTTTTCTTTGTTTGGGAGCATTTCCTGCTGCGGAGCTGCTGTAAAACTGCTGGGACAGCAGTTTTGCTCACTGTTTTAGGCTGATTTTGACTAGGGTTGCTTGCGAACTCAAATATTACCTTAGGGTTACTTGCGAACTCAAGTATTTCCTATCACATGCGCAATCAATACTCAACAACAATCATTTAATTGACAACACTATAACATGAAATTGACTCATTTAAGATGAAATAGTTAATTGTCCTAATCGATCAAGCTAAATGGCCAAAATAAAATATTGACTCAGCTATTAAATAAAAAAAAGCAGTAAAACCAAAACGGTAGCTGATTTTGTATTAATACTTCAATAAGAGAAAACAAGATACAAGCTATTTTGCACCGATACACCTATTTATGAAGGTGTGCTGTATCCGATACACCGATACACGGATACGTCTCGAATACTCCACCGATAAGTGTCGGATACGCCAAAGACGTATCAAATTAAAATACTATTTAATTGCAAAAGGACACGCGTATCCGATACTCGTGTCCGTTGAAAATAAAAAGAAATCTGAAAAAAAAAGACGTGTCGTATTTACTTCTGCGGTTGCGAGCAATATTCTCTCATTTCCGAGATGGATTTGAGTCTCTTGATGATATGAAAATATTAAAAATTATTAATCTTTCACTTGATGAGCATGAATTAGAAGCTATGATAATATGGAAGTTCAAAGACAAACCAATGAAGAAGATGATTATATCATTCATTCTATTGAATAGTTGAAACTTCATGTGCTAGATAATTTATGTTTATGCTTTTGTAGTTGTACTAGACGTTTAACGCTTACTTATATTTTGATATTATAAGCTACAAGGCTACAAATGATGTTGTTGTCAATTTTTTTTGTAATTTCAAATATTATGTTTTGATTGCTTTCTTAATTTTTATGTATGATTTATAAATTATAATGTCGTGTCCGCGCCGTACCCGTATCCTGTATTTTAAGAATTGACGTGTCCCGTATCCGTATCATGTCGTATCCATGTCGCCGTATCCGTATCGATGCAACATAGGATACATGTGATCTACAATTCAAGATGTAGATCAGCTCTCTCAACCAACCTATACGCCGCTAGGAAGCTCTCAAAAGAAAAGAACTATAGCAAAACAAAAACTCAGTCATAGCATAATCCTAAAACCCTAGATATAATACAATAACATAAATAGAACATTCCTAAACAATTTAAATATAATTTAGAAAACATTCCTAAACCATTAAAAATGATTTAAGAAACCTTCCTAAACAAATTAAACAATATTTAAAAAACATTCCTAAACAAATTAAACATAATTTAAAAAATATTCCTAAACAATTAAACATAATTTAGGAAACATTCCTAAAAAAATTAAACAGTTTCTACTTGATTCCTCCTAACATAAGGAATAATAGCTTTCTTGGATCCCACAAGGTTTGGGAAAGTATATTCCATGCGTACAAATCCAAACTATTCTCCAAAGTATATCCAAGAATCTGAACTGTCTCCTAAAATTGAGATAAACATAAGTTCACCAAAAACACCTCCCTTGTACCCCATAACCAATTTTGTATCCTTCCATAACTTCTCACCTTCACACAAACTTTTTAGTTACACTAAATGATATTCTTATTCCTAATAATATTTTTGAGGTCTTATCTGATAAAAATTGAAAAAGTGCCATGAAGGATGAAATGCAGATCCTGGAGAAGAACAATACATGGGAGATCATTGACCTACCAGTAAGAAAAAAAAATTGTCGGTTGCAAATGGGTGTTCTTTGTGAAATACAAGGCTGATGATACACTGGAAAGGTGTAAGACAAGACTAGTGGCAAAAGGGTACACTTAAAAATATGACATTGACTACCAGCAAAATTTTGCACCTATGGCAAAAAAAACACCATAAGGATCTTGCTCTCACTAGAAGCTAACTATAACTAGCATCTCAAACAGCTAGATGTCAAAAATGCATTACTACACAGGGACTTGGAGGCAGAAATATTTATGGAGATTCCACAAGGATTCAAGGAGAAATATGAGGGGGATAAAGTTTGTAGGTTAAAAAAGGCTCTATATGGGCTAAAGCAGCCATCTAGAGCTTGATTTGGAAGATTCTCAAAAGTCACGCTAGTACTTAATGGTTATCGACAGAGCCAAGGGAACAGTACATTATTCTTCAATCACTCAGACAAAGGGGAAGTCAAAATTTTATTAATTTATGTGGATGATATCATCTTAACTGGAAATGATGAAAAGGGAAAAGTGATTCTAAGGGAATGAATTGCCTAGGAATTTGAGATCAAAGATCTTGATAGATTAAAATATTTCCTTGGAATGAAGTAGCCCACTCCAGCAAAGAAATTTTCATTTCATAAAAAAAATAATTTAATGATCTACTTAAGGAAATAGGTAAGCTAGCTTATAAACCGGCATCAACGCCAATAAAATTAAATCTCAAAATGGGAGAAGCTAAAGAAGATCCAAATGTAGATAAGGGAGCTTACTAGAGACTTGTGGGAAATTGATCTACCTTTCCCACACCTGACCAGATAAAGCGTTTGTTATAAGCATGGTCAGCCAGTTCATGCAAAATCCAAAACAGACTCACATGCAAGCTGTAGAAAGAATATTGCACTACCTTAAAGGGAACCCAAAAAAAAAAAGATTCTTTCCAAAAGAGACAGTGGAATAACCCCAGAAGCATATAGCGATGCATATTAAACAAGATCTATAGTAGATAGACAATCTACCTCAGGATACTACACATTCCTTAAAAAAAACCTTGTTATATAGAGAAGCAAGAAATAGAATGTAGTGGTAAGGTCTACTACAAAAGAAGAATACAGATCTATTGCCTTTGGAATATATGAGCTACTGTGGATCAAGATGATTCTAGAAGACCTAAGGATCAAGTGGGAAGGACCCATAAATCTACACTGCGACAACAAATAAGCAATCAATATATAGCTTCCAATCCGATTTAGCATGACAAGACCAAACACAGAAGTAGATATAAATTTTATAAAGGAGAAATTAGACAGTGGTCATATATGTATCAACCATGTCTCATGAAAAGATCAGCTTGAAGATATTTTTACCAAGGGACCTGATAACTCTGCCTTTCTAAGATTAATTACCAAACTGGGAATGACAGATCTGTATTTCCCAGCTTGAGGAGGTGTGTTAAAATCTCAGCCATCCCTTAGAATTTTGATCACATAGCTAAGATGGGGATATGTGGGAGACTCACCTAGATCACACCGATCTCCTTCCATATTTTGGTGGTTGATTTGGGAAGGATTATATTAGGGCAATTATGCATGATTCTGTAGTTATTTGTTTCTTTACTAAGATATCATGTATAGAGATAGTTTTGTGTAATAATATTAAGCCTTTTTCCTCTCCAAATCTCTGAATTCAACACATACTATTTCTTCCCCATCTGATACTATAGCTATATTCACCAATGCTACAATAAATTGTTCTAAAGTGAAAGTTTATGATAATTCTAGCTCGATTCAATCTAATTTGATAATTTAGTGGATAAAAGGTTTTAGTTGGTGTTTACTATTTGAGACGCTAATTAGAATAAATAAAACGTCAATTAACAAAAGAGTATAAACATCAACCCCTACTCAAACCATTCATTGGTAGAAACACCGTGCACTGGATACGCTAATTAGCCAACAATATAAGTATTGAGGATCAATTCAATATTGCCGCAACAGCATACCTGCAAAGAGAAGCATGACAATGGAGAGAATGATAGAAGACAAGCACAATCAACCCAAGTGCTGGATGAACAAAGCAGACCAATGAAATTGAGAGAAATCCAGCAACAAGACTTGGATTCGATCTCAGAATCTGCACAACCTATTCAGAACAGTCAGATATGCAAATTTAGCAAAGTTGTTTGCTTATAACCTAGCAATATAAGGGGCAAATACTTTAATACATAAAAGACATTGCTCACGAGATGGAACCTTGCCTTTAATGACCAAAGGATGGATGAAAAATCGATAATCTGATAAAGAAAAGAAGCACAGACATTTTCTTGCCAAGCCAGCCAGCTGCAAAAACCAGCATTATATATTCAGAGAAATCAGGTTGTTGGAATGTTTAGTAGAGAAATAAAGCAGCATATCTCAGTTCAAGTGTTCAACATTTTTGAGAAATCAGGTTTTTGGAATGTTTAGTCTAGAAATGACGGAAAATATCTCAGTAAGTATCAATGTTAAAAATAACCATGACAGCTTGATTGTAAAAATCAATATTCAAGTGCTTGACAAAAGGCCAAACAACTAGCTCGGTGCAATTATTTTAATGAATGCAAATTTTAGCCTATTTTTCTTTGAGAAAGATGAAAAGAACTATCAAAGATACAAATGCAACATCAATTGAAGGCTTGGAAAGAAGGGTAATGTGTTGGTGAATACAAAAATTTTAAAAAAAAAGAAAAAAAAAAAAAAACTAGGTCAAACATTGAAGCAGACCAACTATCGAGGACAACATAAAGGGAACATATCATTGTAGTGATCTGTTAGAGCCCGTGCAGATAAGTTTGACATGCAAGTACCAGTGGAAATTAGGATCTATAGGAATATCTAATTTATTAACACAAACTAATGAGGACATCGGAGATCAACGACTACGATCTTAAGTTATTTATTTATATGTTTTTTGTACTAGTTTATTTTATATTGTTGTTTTTCCCGTTATACCCTTACGGGTGGTCATGTAGTGTTGTAGCCCGAAGGGCATTTTAGTCTTTTATTTCTTTTCTTGTCATAAAGCCTATTTATACGCTAGTTGTTTTGTATTTTGGGATGATGAATGATTAATGAAAATTTTGATTTGCTTCTTCTTCTTCTTGCATGAGAGCTAGAGAGAAGGGAGAGAGAGCTCGAGGTGAGCAAGCGCAAGGCCCAGCAGTCATTGGAAGAGTCCACGGCTCGTGGTAATTTATTCTTCTATCTTTGTTTTTCCCTCATCCCCTTTCCCCTCACCGCCCACCGTCTCCTTCCAAGCCCATCCCCACCCGTGGCTTAATCCCTCACACCATTTCATCCAATAGCTTCCCTACTTCCAGTCCAACCACCATCAAGGCCCACCTCAACCCGACGGCAAAACCTTCTCCCTTTGGCCGCCGGCCATCCTCATGATCCAAGCCGTTATGATGATTTCAATCATCATAATGACTCCTAAATTTAGATCTAGCATTAAAGGAAGGAATTAGTGAGTTTTGAAATTCAAAAACTTTCCTTATTTGCGAAATCAAAAAAGGAAAGTTTCCAAATTTGAAATCCAACAAAATTTAATTTGAGGAGCAATAAAAAATTTAAATTTAGGGGCAAACATTATTCCCCCCCCCCCCCAAAATTACCCGAGCTTGTTTGGAAAGAATTGAAACCCTCATAATCCCTCCTCCCTTTCTCCCATGCCGCCGGCCCTACTAGGGCTCACCCCCATTACTCTCCAATCAATGCATTATTTGCCTATTAATTTGAAATCAAATTTCAAATTAGTTCCCTCCAAAATTACTCAAAATCTGAAATTAATTTCAGTTGTGAATTAAACCCCTCTTTTACTTTATTTCTTTCCCATAATGACCCCCAATCAGCTCCTTAATTTGAATCCAATTAAATTCCTAATTGATTAGAATTCAGCCTAGCCATTCCTGATTAAGAGTTTGGGCAGGAATAGCATAGTTTTCCTGCAGCCATTGCCGCCCCCTTCCCAGGCCTCTCCGCCCCCCCCACATCCCATCTATTTGGAGATTCCTGGTGGCTGTCCAAGATGCTACAGCAGACCAATCCTGCTGTCCTGATTCCCAAGAGGCCACTCCTGCTGTCCAAGACCACTCCAACTTAGCCAACTATTATCCCGTCGCCCAGGTTGCTGTTTGGACTGCTGTTGGAAGTCTATGTGTGCCAAAACAAGGGTTCCAACCATCACCTGCTGCTGTCCACAAGTTCCCAGCTGCTGCCCATTCAGTTTAGTGGCTTATTCTTGCTTCCCTGCTGTCCAAGAAATCAATGATCACCTTCCTAAATGTGTCCAAGCCTTTAAGTTGCTGATTGCTCTTCATCCAGTGCTTTGGTGATCAAACCGGAAGCTTCGTATTCTCTGATTATTTGGGTAAACTCTCCCCCAAATCATTAAATCTCTTAGTCACTTTTCAATTGCGGTTTATATATGATTCATGAAGATTCTCATCACTCTCTCCGCTAAACCCTCTTAACTAGATAAGTTGAGTGAGGGATCTCCTTGTAGTGACTAGTCTTATTGTTAGTGTAGGGATTTCTTGTTGAAACCACTCATGCATACAACATAGATTAAGTTGGCTATTTTTCGATCTTAACTTCTATACATGTGGTTTAGCCTAAGCTTGTCTTCCGCTCTTTGTGTTTTATTGCGTCGTTTAAATTGACCATTAAGATATAATTATTTGTTCTAGGAGTATTAAGTGTGCAAATTCCTTAAAGCAATTCATCCATGCAATTATGTTTCACATCACAAACAGAATGCATGATCATAATGTCGAGGCTTAATTGCCTGAGCTGAAAGGTTAGAGGAAAGGCACTTGGCATTTTTCAAAGATGTTGAAATATTAAGAAAAAATATAAATAAAATATAAGGAGGTTGTTTTACGCAACTTAAGATAATGCCATTTAAATATATTCAACATTAAATTTTAGAGCACTATAATTTAGTTCTAAAATGTATCACTCGCCAGAAAAGCAATATAATGCAAATATAATGCTTAATGGAGTAGATTCCATAGCCATAGTTATTATAATTTTATCAAATAAAAAAAATATAATTACTATGAAAGTTATAAAGTCTTTGAATATGCATAAAGCACACCAATTATATAAGGAATAATGCATGATGACGTTACTGCTCAGTGTAAAGTGAAAAAAAAAAAACGAAAAATAAACATTTAATAAGCGGTTAGAATAAGGTGAAAGGAGAAGCCTGAAGGCAATTTCTTCTATAATCATAAGGAAATAAATTATAAAATTGCAATTAGAGGACTATACTACCTAAATTCAATAGTCAGGCAAGAAAGAAATCATGGATAATCAAGCTACGTTTGAAAAAAAAAAAAGAGAGAATATTAGATGGTTATTTGGCAAATTTAAATGTGATAAAGTGAAAACAATTATATTAGAGAGAAATTAGAATTAACACCTATTTAAATACAGTGAAAGCAGACTTAAGTAGTTTGAGCATATACAATGGATGGAAAAAAGACAAACAAGTCGGATACATTGATAAATATGAAAGAACTGAAGAAAAATCGTAGCCCTTAATTAAGAATTACATGTCACGTAGCACTCAATAAAAATGAATAAGAGAAAATTCATATAGTAAACTCATAATAATTAGAAGGCTGTTTATGACGATGATGGTGATGGTAATGATAAGGGTGATCTTTTCAACCAAAAAATAAAAAATCTTAATTAAATCAATCATATTGTAGACATGCATTCACTCTCTGGCATATAAACATCATTGTGTGTCAAAAATAGTTGTAAAAGTGAAAAGAAATGACGTTAACATATTATCTTTTTAAATATACACTTTCGATGGTACTGCCAAGGTTTATGCTTTTGAGAAATGAATTGCTACCACAACACCCAAATATTTTTAATCTTTATATCAGGTTCTTGGAGGTAGAAATCACTAAAAAAAAATATTGCTAAAATGAGAAAAAAAAACGAGAGTTAAAACATGCTTTAGAAGAAAATCTAAGAAAAATGAACATCTTCTTAGAAAAAACTCCCCCCCGCCCCCCTAATCCCTCTCCCTGTGTCGCAGAATGAGTAGACCTCTCTCTCTCTCTCTCTCTCTCTCCTCTCTTCTATATATATATATATATATATTATATATATATATATATATATATATAATATATATATATATATATATATCTTCCTTCCTCTCTCTAAGCAAAATATGAAAGAGACTATCTTTTGGCCAAAAAATGCGGAATAGTCGCATTAGAATATGTCACCAAATAATGTTGCCTACATTTGTAACCAAAAGATAGGTCAAATATAAATTACTAACATATTGAAAAGAAAGGAGTTAGTAAAATATTGCTAAAATGAGAAAAAAAAAACGATAGTTAAAACATGCTTTAGAAAGAAAATCTAAGAAAATGAACATCTTCTTAGAAAAACTCCCCCCCCAATCCGCTCCCTGTGTCATAGAATGAGTAGATCCTCTTCTCTCTCTCTCTCTCTCTCTCTCTTCTCTCTTACTCTAGTATATATAATATATAGAGTAATATATATATTATATAATTTTATTTCTCCTCTCTAAAGCAAAAATACGAAAGAGACTGTTTTTTGGCCAAAAAATGCGGAATAATGTCGCATTAGAGATCATGTCACCAATAAATGTTGCCTACATAAGTCTTCATGAACACAATATTGTAAATGGGCAAAAGGGACCGTAGAGAATATGATACATGCATAGAATGCTGGGCAAAATATACCTCTAAAGAGGCAAAAAGGACATCTATGTAATTCAATGGCGATAATGCTAGGTTTACCTGGGCTCCCTTGAATATTTTTATAAAAGAATAACCAAATCTTTTAATGACAAAAATTGATATTCATTATCGATTTAAGAGAAAATAAAGGTTAATGCCAAATGAAATTTTATGAAGTTTTCTAAAATTTGTTTAAGTTTTATTTATGTTTTTAATGTCATGAATTTTATAATTATGCATATTAAAATGTTATTTGAGGTTGCATAACTTACTAAGCCTCATAGCTCACCAATATTTTCTTATGGGTCATTGTTACAGGAAAGAGCAAGGAGAAGATTGTGGTAGATTAAATTTGTAAGTTATTTCTTCTTTTATGTTAAGGTTATCTTTGTTATTGAATTTACTGGTGAGGCATGAAAACATCTCAGTAATGTATTAGTTGGTTTGTTGTAGTGGCTCTGTGAGTTTATATTTAAAGTAACTTGAATTTTAGATCCTTCCATGTATTCAGTGAATGATTTATTATTATAATTTAAAAAAAATCTATAGTGAATGAAATATATGTTA